GCTGTCCCCTGGGAGCGCCGAGGTAGGTGGCAAGCACAAGCCGAGATCAGTCGGGAGTTTTACGTGGAAACAGCCCAAAAAGCTCTGCTAGAACTAGGAATATCTTCCCCGCTTTTTGGTTGCACAAGCAGATGGCACTGCCTCCCAAAATAGTAATGTCACCCATGCATTGAAGAAGGCAGAAACTTTTTAACCTAAACTCTTAAAATGTTTCCTTCAAACAGTGTTTTGCAATGAATCCAGAAAGTGTTCTGTGCTTTTTTTTATTATTATTTTATTTTTTTATTTTTTTTTTTGGCTAAAAAGGGATTTTTATAGGAGTTTTTTTTTTGGGGAAGAAAAACATAGAGAGGAAAAAAATAATTAGGAAAAGGGAAGCCTGAAAGAGTGAGTGGTTTTCTTAATTTTGGGGAAATTATGATTGTGAGAAGTATTATAAACCGCAATTACACACACACACACGAGACTGCACTTTACCTTACGAAAGAGCTGCTCTTAGGGTATAAAATTGCTTTAATATTGCAGACAAGTGTTTTAAAAAATGGCTTATGATAATGGATTTTCAAAGCAGGAGTAAAGCTGCTTTTCCTCGAGAATAGGGCTTTAGAGAAGGGAAAAAACTTCACAATGCCAGTGGCGTGCATTTTGCTGCATTTCACAAGATCTCTCATTATTTAAATTCCTATGTATTTATGTCATACGTGGATAAATGACCTTATTGTTCAGAACATGTCTTTATATGAACATCTCTGCTGTTAGAAGTAGTGTTATTTTGCGTTCCCCCCCACCCCCCAAGTCAGAACAAAAGTCTCTTTTACTGCAGTTTTGGGAACTTCATGCAAATGGCAGTTTTTACACATCAATCGTCAGTTTAATAACACTAATGATAAGAGGGGAATTAACGGTAATGGGCTGGCTTTTTGGCACGCAAATCAGAGTTTGCAGAGGAGTCTCTGCTATGCCAAACTTTACAGTCTTGTGTTATCAAGTGTTAGCAACGAGCATTAAGACTAAACTATTGACTTCTTACCAAGCTGGGGTTACTGAACCACAACTTCCTAGCACAAAGATTGATTATTTAGAAATCCATTGTGCAAGATAGGAGGAGATAGCGATAGCCTTCTGGGACAGCAGGGAGCCATTTACAGAGCAAAATAAATTTGCCAGGGGATACAGATCTGTCTGAACATGCTCAATATCTCCCTCTGTTAGAGCAACACTGGCTAGCTGCTTTCTCGAGTTTTCCCCAAGGTGCAGAGGTTGGGCTTGCTTTCTTCCACCCCATCCTTGCAACAGCAGTGTCTGAAGTCCAGTCCTGCACCCGCTGCTCACGAGCGACCCCAGAGACTTCAGAGGTGCTTGTTGGAGTTAAGATACCACAGCAGAAGTGAGCAATGGCAATTTTTTAAAAAAATACACATGGACCAATGCAGAAAGAAGCAGCCTGCCTGGCTACAAGCACTATGGATGGGTGCTTCACCAGGCGCAGAATATCCCATGGCAATGATGGTCTGGGGACACAGGCATGACAAATTACACCTCTTCGATCTGAATACTTTCTGTCCAGACAGACAGACAGACGTAGTGCTGCACCCTACGCCACCCCAGCCCAGTTCTAATGCGGGCAGTACTCACTCCAGGCACGAATTACACTTTGCTTCCTCCCACTCATCTTTTGCTATGATCAGGGCCCACCAAGGAATTGCTCTGCAGCTGAATCCCATCCCACATAGGACACCTTCTTTTCCATGGATGCCTCACTGCTTTTTCACACTGCTCATACATTCAATGCCATGGTTTCTAGATATAGGCTGCAAAGACTGAATCCCATACCCTAAGGAAGATGGGCCACTTCCATGGATGCTAATGCAGGTTACTGGAATACAGATGGTGGACTTGCTCCTTAGGCTGTTTATACATCAAAAGGTTAAATAATGCCAGGACAGACAAACTGTGGAATCTCTGGTTGTTTTTTCTTTTTTTTTTTTCTTTCCCAATCATGAATTCTCATTTGGACCAGGTTATAAACTACTCTACAGCCATTTCTGTACCACTCAAAGAAAGGACACAATTAAACTGAACACCTATTACTTTTTCCCAAGGTTCCTGTGTGAACTGCAGCCTTCCCAGGGGATGTACACTTCAGTTTGACCATATTTCTTGGTCAACACATCTTGGAACAATATTTACAGGTGAGAAAGCCTACACTGTTGCCTGCAAGTTGCGCTGGACTGCTTGTCCTTCATCCTGCCATCTGCAGGGTTTGCTGCAAATCAGAAGCTCTCTGCTCCTAAGAGTTTTGGAGAGGAGAAAGGAAGCATGCTCCATTATCATGCACATTCAGTGGTAGTTTTCATGAATAGCTAAGTGGAAAAGGAAGCTTTCAAGCAGTACAAAGTCTGCTGCACTTTACAAGAAGCCCCGAGGCAGGCAGGGATTATTTTGTGCTGCAGGAATGAAATGTAGCCTCTTTAGATAGAAGCTGTTTTATCATTGAGTCCCCAAAAGAAGTGGCATTTTTAGAGACCATGGGAGCTGCACTGTCTCATCCATGATAAAACTACAGAATGACAGGAACTTTTAGGTAATGTCTGCGTCTAAGGTCAGCAGATAAGGAGCAGGTAAGCCTGATCTCCGGGCTACTGCCCTTGCGAGGTCACTGCAAAATAAAAAAGTGAGCAATAACAATTCCACCCAACATCTGGGGGAAGCAAGGTAGTGTTCACGGTGGGTTTCACGTGGGAAAGGGTGCGTGACGAACAAAACAGAGTGAGGAACACACGTGTATGACCACCAGCGCATGGGCGCGCAGGCCGACATGGATGATGTCTCTGGATTGCTGCTGTCACCGTGACGTTGTGTTCCTAGCTGTTGGCATCACTGACCTTGCTGTGTGTCCGAGTGCCTCTAAATGAGACCATAAAGCTTGCATCCTGTGAGCTGTTGCTGCCCACCACGATCCAGCTGGAGCTGCAGAGCCCCTGGCACTGCTAGTGAGGATGGGAACAACCTTCCTCCCTCCACAAACCGTGCCAAAGTTACCTCATAACCAAACTGCAGCTCAGAAAGCAAGTCCTCTGCCAAATGAAGAAATGCAGGGAGATCACTGCCTGAGCTAGGAATACATGACTAGCTTTTTCCCAGGTCTGGAAGAGTCCCAATTCCTGCCCCAACAGCAGGAGCCGCATGTGCTGACTCCTTGCTGCAGGCTGGCATCTGCTCCGAACAACAGCTAGACAAATACTATTGCTTCATCAATACATTTGTAATTCAACCACAAAATTTAAAAAGCAGCTGAAGAGCTTTGCATGGTAAACATCAGAAAAACACTGCCTTCCAACCCTGCAGCCAGTTGTTCTGTAATATCTCCTGCTTTGTGCTGACAACCTTTTTTCCCTCCAATCATTCAGACACAATGCCTTCAGGTCTGTCTAAGTAATGTAATTTACTGGAGTGGAATTCCCTCGGTACCTTCTGCAGCACTCAGTGACAGTATCATTTATACTCTACACTGTCATGCCATGACACTGACACATTGGCTTTCATCCCTCATTCAGCGCGGAGCGTGCAATTTCACCTTCCATTGTGCCCTTTCACAGACTGCGCGCACAAATTTACTCCATTCATTCCTAATTACAAACCTCTGCTGAAGCGCTCTCATTAGATTTGTATTCCTCGCTCCAAACGTCAATCTTTTTTTTTTTTTTTTTTTGAAAATCCCACTTTTTCCGGAGGATCCATCCATTAGCAGCAACCTCCCCGGCATTCCTTCAACCAAGCGCATTAAAAGTGAAACCGGCGTTGCGGAGATGCACTTAAAAAGCGCCATTATGGTAAATCTCCCTCGCCAGCATGTTTTGTTTTTTTTTTTTTGTCTTGTTACCCAAGTGGTTGCCCGTGCCTGCATGTCGTGGGGTGAAGCAGAGCCGGGGTGGCTGCTTCGAGGCAGCCTTTGTGCGCTGGGAGAGCGGGGCACGCCGTGCCACAGCCCTACAAAGGGCTTGCGACGGCGGCAGGGGAGGCTGAGGGCAGGCTGGCTGCTGTGGGAAAGTTAAGAGCAAAACAAGCTCGGGGGTTCCCGAGTAGGAGGAGGACACTCTGCCGTGCAAGCCAACAGGTTGCGAGAGCTCCCCGGCTGGAGATCTCCACCAGCCACCAACCCTACCCCGTGCCCACAGGGAGAGCACGAACGTGCAGCTGGGCTGGACGCGGTCAGAAAGGGCGCGCTCCGTCTCCTTCGCAGAAAGGTAAACACCTTCAAACATCTCAGCGCCATACAAGGGAAAAAATCACCAGCCCCGCGGCGCCTGCTGATGGTTGCACGAGGCGTCCCGGGTGCCACCGCTAAAAATAGGCCTCGTGCCTCCCCGAGGCGAGCCCTGCCTGCCTCATCCCGCTGGAAAGTGCCGAAGCGGCGAAGGAGCGGAGCACGAGCGCCGTGGCTGCATGACACACACTCTCCTGGCCTTATCTTCGCAAGCGATCACAGCTGAGCTCATCGCAGCAGCGTCTGTCTGTGTGTGTATGTGTGTGTAGGGGGGTGGGGGGGGGAAGGAACCACCCCTACATCTGTGTCAAAAAGGGAAAATTCCACAGAAAAAATGACAACAAACGCTTACGCCACTCGCCGGCAGCTGGTCACCTACGGGATTGAGATGTGCAGATAATGGTACCAGATGTAACGTGATTCCCTGCAGAAAGCACCACCACGGAAACTCATTATTTCTCAAGTTTTTCCCCACTCCCCCCTCTCCCCCCCCGAATTAAAGATTTAAAACCTTGATTACCGCGTGAGCTCTCGTGCCTTTTGTGCTTGGCATCAAGGCAGGAGCCGGTCCGGCGGGCGGGCGCACGCCGCCGCGAGAGGAGCGAGGCGCATTTCAGCGAGCAGGCAGCAGCCGCGCCACACGCACGGCGCTCTCCTGCTCTGCTCAGGAGAGGGGGGAGGCTCGCGGTAAGGTAATTCAGAGGGATTTCGTATTGCATAATAAAAGACTCACCAGCGACAGCATCAATATTCCATGGAACAAGCGCGTGTGCCTCTAAGTGCCTCCAGCGCACCACATCCTCTGTGCAAGGCGGCGTTACTCAGAGCGAAAACCTATTGTCTTATTTAGCCCAGTTCTCAAGTCAAACAGGAACACTTCTGCCACGCCGTGAAGCCCGAAAAACCTGGAACCGTCATGAAGCACCACGAAAGCTGCGATGCTCGGGCTGACACACAACTGAAAACGAGTTTTGAGCCTCCCTCCGTTACCTTCGGTTCCGTAGCTCTTGAGTAGATGCTCTCTCTACTCGTCCATTACACGAATTACATCAAACCGAGAAGCCCGAGATGCACAGGCACACTCATTCTCTGGAAATGCCACAACTGCTTAACGAGTGAGGCAGGGACAGCACCCAACCTTACACCGCCAAGTTATGAATTTCCCTGCAGATGCTGACAACGTCTCCCTTTAATGTTTCTCTTGGCCACAAGCTGACATATCAATTAATGTGGTCATAACAGATTTAGTAGCTCAATATATTTCAACTAATTTAGCGAATTCCTAACCGGTGCAACTACCTGGAAAAGCCACTGAGACAGCAGATTTCAGTACCATCACCCTAAAACCAAACCAAAAGGATTTTACGTGTCAAAAGCTAACACTGAGAATTTGTTTCTTGGTGCTCAGCAGATTTGTACAGATTTCCTTTTTATTTTCTATTTTTTTCCCAGAAGATGAAGTTCTGGATCAGCAGTTCAAGTTACGCCAGAGAAGTGTTGGAGGGCTGATTTTAAAGATCTTTCAGTCCTCTCTAAAGCTGTTTTTTTCCAGATCACAGCACAATTCCGCTTCCAAAATTCTTTCATCACCACCTCTTACTTATGCACTAAGCCCAACTCCTCTTTTTTTTTTTTTTTTTAAATAAAAAAACAAGAAGCTGATGAATTAACACAGCTAGACAACACTGCAAATAAACTCCCTCTCTCATTCCAACAGACACATTTACAAGTATTCAAGCACAGGACTCACCAGACAGAGATGAAGCTGCATGCAAGCCAGTCATCAGAGCTAACAGAACGATTATGCTTGCTCTACAAGTTCTGAAGCATTTGAATCTTATTTTTAGTTGTACACAAAGGGCAATAAATGGAAAATCTTATTGTAACCACTGCTTCTTCTTGGCCACCCACACTTCCAACACCTACAGCAAAAGTATATAAAAGCAAAAAACCCAGAACTCACGGCTCATCTGAACAAGGGATGCAAACTAGCTAATTGCTGTTACTTTTTTTCCAATTTGTATGTAGAGTGTCATGATATCTGTTAACCATCACCGGCAGATATTCACACACAGCGTGTTATCTCCTACGTCAGGGATCCTATGGGATTTTCATGCTTGTAATTAATTGCTTTTTCTCAGTGATCCGATGGAGTTCCTCTCGAAGTTAGCTAACCACTAATCAATTTTCAAATGAGGAAATAGAGAAGATGCCTCTCTCGAACTCTCAGTTTCTCCCCGCACCCCAGCCCCAAATTAATGATGCACAAGGAGTTAATGCTTCGCTTACCTGTGAGAAATTATGCTCAATACTCTACCCAGAAACCGGCAATTAAAAAAAAAAATCCCTTTACACTCATAATAGTAGAAGAACTTCAAACAAATTGCTGTCAAGGATGATTTCATTATGTTTAAATCCACTTTACTTCAAGTTGCTTTGCATATTACTTTTTAATTTTATCCATGAAACTCCTGTATCCACTGCAATGCTGGTTTACCCTCCTCTCCTATGCCTGACTCCTTCCATTTACCCGGCTCCGCAAGGCGACACAAGTATGAACCTAATTATCGTCTGAAAACCTGCAGAAAGCCAACCCAATTAGCTGAGTAAAAAAGAAATAAAGAGAAAAGGTCTGTCTTAAGACCAGACTAAATACGAGCATTGGTGAGGCCACGTCTGGAGATGGGGCGAGCTGACAGTCTGCTGTCATTAATTACCTCGCTGCCCCTGGAAATGCACGGCGATGTGGCCGGGAAAGCCACGCTGCCACACTCGCGCTTCGGAGCTCTTTGCAAATGACAACAGGAAACCCGTCCCATGAGCTCGCAATACGCATTTAACCTCGTATTTTAAGGCAACGTGTCAGCTGCAGGGAAACGCACCTTCACCTGCCCTTCACCTGCTCACCGATGGCCAGCTAGGGATGTCTTCCAGCCCACCATCCTCCAGCGGCCGGCACCGAGCCACGCAGGCAGCCGGCGGCTCTGGGCGCCTGGCACTTTACGCGGCGCTGCCGAAATCAGGTGAATGCCCTTCTGGCGACGACGCGGGGCGCAGGAACGCGAGATGGGCGCCGTAGAAGCGCAGGTATCTAAGTATTATGAAAATAAATGGGTCATACACCACTGAGCTAACAACCACACCACCCCCAAGCCGGGCGCGTAATGACTGTGCAGAGCTCTGCCAGAGGGAAAGGAGAGATTTAAACAGCAGTGAAAACAAAACTGATGCGGTGAGATGGATTTTACTTTTCACCGGTTTGGGTTAGAGAGAAAGTTGAGCTCACCGTCACCCTCTCGCAGTGTTTTATATTAAAAAAGCTCGGCGGCGGCAGGTGAGGTGTCCTGCGGGAGGCAGGAGAGCAGGCAGGGTGCTGCCGCCCGCCCCCGGGGCCGCGGGTCGTGTCCCCTGCGGCAGGAGGAAGTGCCGGGCCAGCGGGCTGTGACTCAGTGCCTCGGGCTGACACACACACACACAAACCTCCAGACGTACACACAAAAGTACACGCACACGCAGCCTGTCACCTGCGGCGGCACAAAGCCGGCCCCACCGCGCCGCAACGCCGAGTCAACAGGCGGAGGGCACCGCACGCCCACACGGCGCATCCACCTCCGGAGCCACCAACCAGCAAGTGATCGAGGGCCAAACACCAAAATAATTCATCTTCTGACGGCATATGGAGATATTTATATATATATATAGAAAATTAACTGATGTATTAGCAGCAAATGCTTATCAAAAGCAGCCTCTGGTCGGCCAGGTGGGACGTCCAGCCTGCCTCAGGTCCAGTGATGCTGGCAGTGCCAAGGAGCATCTGGCTGCACCAAGGGACAGCCGCAGTGATGGCAGCAGTCACCAGCTTTACACATTCTCAAAGGCAGGCAGCGGGAGAATCTGGTTAATTAATCAGATTAATTAGTTGAGAAGTTTTCTCCTGGATGGCAGCACTGGGTGAGTGATGAATGGATGGAGAGCAGGCTCACAGAAAAGGAGGACCTGGGGGTGTTGGAGGATGAAAAACTGAACATGAGCCGTCAGTGTGCACCTGCAACCTGGAAAACCAACTGTACCTTGGGCTGAATCAAAAGCAGGTGGCCAGCAGGGTGAGGGAGGCGATTCTCCCCCTCTCCTCTGCATTCGTGTGACCCCCCTGGAGCACTGCGTTCAGCTCTGGGGCCCCCAGCACAAGAAGGACATGGGCTGTTGGAGTGAGTCCAGAGGAGGGCTACAAGTATGTCCAGAGGGCTGGAGCACCTCTCCTATGAAGAGAGGCTGAGGGAGTTGGGGTTTTTCAGCCAGGAGAAGAGAAGGTTCTGGGGAGACCTCACAGGGGCCCTCCAGTACCTAATGGGGGCCTACAGGAAAGCTGGGGAGGGACTCTTTGTCAGGGGGTGTCAGGATAGGACAAGGGATGATGGTTTTAAGCTAAAAGAGGTTAGATATAGATTAGATATTAGGAAGAAATTCTTCACTGAGGGTGGTGAGGCCCTGGCACAGGCTGCCCAGAGGAGCTGTGGATGCCCCATCCCTGGGGGTGCTCAAGGCCAGGCTGGATGGGGCTTTGGGCGACCAGGTCTGGTGGGAGGTGTCCCTGCCCATGGCAGGGGAGTTGGAATTAGGTATCTTTGAGGTCCCTTCCAACCCACACTACTCTGTGTGCTTCTGTGGAAATGCTTTTTGTTGGTTGTGAGCGCAAAGCCCGAGGTTGTTGCTGGGGAGGCTGTGGAGGCCCCTGTGGTGGGATGTGCCCAGTGCCTGCACCAGTGACGGTGCTGGCAGCACCCAGCCCTGCCTCAGGGCTGGCAGGCACAGCCCACCACCCACCACCTGCCATGCCAGCACCATCAAACAGGTAAGAAAGCTCCTTCTCTGCCATAAAAATGGCATTTCTTGCTGACTGGTGTCAACCCTTGGACTTCATAACCAGCCCTCAGAAAGCCCACAGGCAGATTCCAATCTCCAACAAGAAAACAGACTATAAAAATCACAGTGCTCATGTAGTAACATCACTGCTGCCACCAGTGTGGCACAGAAAGCATCCTGGTGCGACAGTGACACATGCCAACATGAAAATCCTCAAGACATCGGCAGCAGAGCTCAGCACAAAGAGGAGCTGCCCATCCGTACAGATGAACCCGTGGACGTGTGGCGGCCCCTGACAGGACAAAGGCCCCATTTCCAAAATAATCTTGGATGTGGTGTGGGAACACCAGCAGTGCCCAGGTTCAGCACTGAGTGAGTGTCTCTCATCCCCATCTCCATTACGCTCCAAGTCAGATGTAGGCACTCCCAAAAAAGTGACCACGAAAGCCCAAGCTCTGTGCTACCACACAAAAACACAAACACCAGCGGAGAGGGGACCTTTATTTTATAAAGGACATTTTGTGGCCGATATGACCACATCTCACACCAAAGTCCGGTGGTGACTGCTCAGTAAGATAAGAAAACCTCTGTCCTCGGCCACAGCCATTCTGCCTGGGAACAGCTGGGTGGGATTTGGTAACCAGAGTTACGACTGTTTGGTGAGTAGGCTTTCACAAGTATATGACATCATCTTCAGAAATTTGATTTCCTTTTTATTTCAATAAAGTTACCTGACCTTTTAGCGCAGATTTTAAAAAAGATAACATATTTTCCCAGTCCCTGGTGGTAGGCGGATGACACCAAAATCTGCATCTTCAAACTTCACATTATTTACATCTGCCTACAGATGGTCGCAGGACAAATTTCAAGAAATCTTTTTTAAAAAAATTGAAATATTCTGAAGAGCTCATACCTAGCAACTGTGAATTTCACGTAGAGTTTTTCTGAGTTTGAGTTTAGGGTTTGTGATTTTTTTTTGAACAAAGCACTTAAAGGCCCTCACTGAATTCTCAGCACGGCGTAAGTAGTCCCAATTAGGACAATTTATTACGCTCAGAATGCCATTGATTGGTATGTTATTTTTGCCGCTTGTAAAGGAAAAGAAAGCTGGGTAAAACAAAGCGAGAAGTGCGAGGGTAGCGTTGAAATCGCTGTGAGCAGCTCTGCACATCTGCAGGAAGGCATCGCGAGTGCCCGAGCATCCGAGCAGGGCCCTGCACGTGCGGTGCCGCTGGTGATCGCTCACGACCACGACCCAGGAGCCGTGTCTCAGCCAAGAGCACAGCTTCTCCTTAATTCCTGCACTCCCTCATTATGCGTACGGTCTAACCTCGCCGTGATTAACTCCCAGGGGACCAAGAGAAATGTGTTTTTTTTTTTCTTATCTTCGCACATGTACTGTAACGGTGTTTAGCAATCTGCTCTGTCAGAACAAGGGAGAAGACTTCTGCTTCAAATTAAAACATCAAGAGATATTATTTTTACAGAGATCACATCAAACAGAATCCTACTAGCATTATAAAAATGGAATAATCAATGGAAGAAGGGAAAGGTGTACGTGCTTACTAAATACACTGCACCCTGGGAAAAGCAAGAACAATATGACTGTTACAGCTAGGTCAAGCTCTCTCCAACAGGGCTAATTAACAAGGGAAAATTCAGTGTTTTTTTTTTTTCTGTTGGAATTGCTGTAACAAGGTAATTGCTACAAGCAGCATTTGTTATCAAAAAGCCAGACGGAGGGCTTGTGAATAACACTGAGAAACCAAGGGAGCACCTGACGGCTTGCCCTGCGCCCAGCTCCCCCAGCACAGGTCTGCTCGTGCAACCACTGCAATCCCAGCCGATGACCTACAAGGTGACACCTGCACCTCCAGGAGTCAGAGCACATGGCATGTTCCAAAGGTTTGGTGTATCTCGAGCGCAGACACAATAAAAATAAATAAGGAAGGCACAAAGCTTATGACAGCTTCTAAATCCTTCTGCTTTTCAACTTGATTTGGTCCTCGGCCATGGCTTTACTCTTGGAAACGGAGATTTCCGATTATTCACGGCACGAGAAACAGCAGGACAAAACTTCCTATGCACTTCTACCAGCTTGCTTTGGCTGTGGACAGGGAATGGGTGTTTTTCTCCATTTATGACCATCCAGTTTCTGTCTGCTTCTTCACATCTGCTAAGAAGGATGCCATTTTTTTGGTTAGTTCCTCTGAAAGGGTTTTTATTAGTGAATTTGCAAGATGCCTCATTACAGGCTTTTCAGAAACCATGAGAAAAGCCTGCGAAAATGTGAATAAGGCTTCCAAGTCCCATGACAATGCTGCTAAGTAGGGCTAATGAACAAAGGGTTGTTTCTGCCTGCCTAGCTGCTACAACTCATATTTTTAAGTTTCCTTCCCTTAAGACAGGCACTAGAAACACGTTTCAAGTGAGATCCAAAATTCTCACACAGTCAGACGATGCCTGCTATTGGGGGTTTGTCTAATAGCTGCACCATTTATTGACAAGCCCATAATGAAATGGCAAGACTCTCCCTTTTCCAGCAAACAAAATCAACACAACACCTTCTAAGGTCTCTTTGACAGCAAATTCCCTTTCTCCACTGCCTACAGTTTCATTGTTATTTCTGCTGATAACACCAGAAAATGTTGTCTATTCTCTTTAAAAATCAACTTCCCATAAGCATTAAAAAATCCAGCACTCCTTTTGCAATAGAGTTTCGTTTTAGTTTTGAGTGCTGCTTGTAGTGTCACAAAAGCAAACAAAGTACCTCGCATGAGGTAGACTTCTAACATAAATTCTTTGCTTCTAAAATACAACTTTTTTTGAGAAGCAATATTACAAATTAGTTCCTAAGATTAAGAATGGTGTCAGCAAGCACTCAAGCAAAACTGGCCAGAATGAGTGGTTGACTTCACTCTCCTGCCCCGATTAGTCATTAAGCTGCAGAGCATGAATTTATTACTGCGGTGAAAAAACAAGGGCAGGATGCCAGCCTTGCTGACCAGCATGTCAGTGCTTATTTCAGGAGAAAAATGAAAAGAAGAAAACATTCCTTCTTTTACTTCCAGTTGCAATCCCCCGTATCCTCCCCCATCTTCCAGTGTTTTTAAAGAAATTCCCACTTCTGCCTTTTGCCGCTCGGTAGCTGCGGCTTGGAAACATCCAGACCCCACAGGCAGCGTGACAAGATTTAAGATCTGCGCGGTCACTGGATGGCAGATGTCCTTATAGAGGCTGGGGTGAGTCCTGCGCCTCGCACCAGCGTGACCGCTCATTCCCCGGATTCCCCTGTGGTTTTTCTGGTGGCGTTATCCGACCAGCTGCCGGCTGTCACCTCTGCCCGGGCAGGCGGGAGTGCAGAGCTCGGGCGACGCAGGATTCAGATGCATTGAGATTAAGGAGCATCGCTGCTGCTGAAAGGCAGGGTGGTGTGAGCTGAGCAGCCCCGGCTCTGAAGCTGGGCGATGGGTTTTGTGTCCGATTTCTCCTCCCTTCCATGTTTTCTCTTCTGTTTAGAGTCCTGGATTGGCAACCGCTAGCCAGCACAGCACTGCGAACCACAATTCTGAATCATCTCTGGTTCAGATGATGTTTTGCCAAGCTGCTCTATGCCACCAGCCAGAAAACAAAAAACTCCCAGCCACAATGGGATTTGCTTTTTATTTATATATAAATATATAAAATTGAAGTTGTACTTCAGCCTTTTTCCCAGCTCAGTGGCTCTGGGGTGTCCCATCCTCTGGATTGCACAGCCCACCACATCCATGCCATCCTCA